TTGATAAATACATTTTTTTCGGTCTCATTCTAGGACTGGCGAACGCAGATGTATGGCAACAACGTGAATGAAATAAAAACATAAAGAAAAATTTAACGCTGTAACACGAGGATACTCCCCCCCCCCACTCCTCACCCCCATGAAACCATAACACGCTGCTTGGTTCAGTTACATGGAAACCGTGATATTTTGTTCAACCGTGTTGCGAAAGGATTGAGTATATTACAAAAAACAAAAAAAATAACGTTCAACATTTAAATTGAAATGATCACCTTAATTGTTGAAAATTAATCTTCTAAATATTCTAATGAATAACAAACATGACAAATTTTTTATTAACAAAGGTTGAGTAATATATTTCCATCGTGATCTACTAAAACATTCTGATAACATTTTTCGTAGATTCCGTTTTTCTTGTAGAAATATAGGATAAGAGTAGAAAAAAAAAAAAAAAGAAAAAAAAGAAAAATCCCCTAGATAATAATGCAATGTTATTAATAATCTAAAAAAAGATCATGATCGATAATTCATTAATTCGAAGTTAATATATGACACATGATGATATGATATTTATGAGAGATACGCGAATTAAGAAGAAGAAGAAGACAGCACGAAATCGTTAGAAGACAAAGATAGAAAGTAATTTATGGGTGGGGAAAAAAAAAAAAAAAAAAAAAAGAAGAAAAGAGAGATTACTACATGCATAGAAAACCCCGTATGTAAAAATACATACATACATACATACATACATACATTATGGTAGTTCGTATATATGTGTATATGCACCTACATATATGTATCAACTTGTGCACACACACACACACACATTTATCTCCATGTATATACACCCTAGACGTATATCATCATTATATATACAGATTACCTTCAAAATTGACGTCACCGGATTCAATCGTTTGTTATACGCCTTAAAAAAATACTAAAATAAACTTTATAAAATAATAAATACAAATATATATATTATTATTATATTATTAGATATATAATTATATATATAAATTTATTAAAATAAATATTTTTAAATAGATGCTATAAAAGAAAACAAACTTGACGTAATCTACAATCATCCTTCAATTAATTTTTTGTTTTTTTATTCCATTCATTGCAGTATAAATTGAAAGATATTTATATTACCGCGCGTTAACACGAAATACACACAACACATGTTGTGTATGTATGTGTGTGTGTGTGTTATATTATTATTATGATTATTATATTTAAAATATAAAAAGCATTTATTTTACTTTGATTATAATATAAGACAAATATTCTTATAATAATCATTTGTATATTCGCAATAAATTTTGATTTAAAACGCAACGTATTGAAAATATGAATTGGATGACGACAATTTTGAAACACGCTGTACATATATGTATAATAATAAAAATATTAATTTATGTATATATATAATATATATATATATATATATACAATCGTGAATTGCCCACTTTTCTACGCCATTTTTTTTTTGCTTTTTTTACATTCGTACACATGATTACACGCACGCTAAATTGTGCCACATTCTTTTTCAAAATTCATCGCATACATACACACGCGCGCGCACCTAATTACATATTATATATATATATATATATAATATTATATACATATATATATATATATTTATTTATATACGAGAACATCGAGAAAGAGTCCAGCATACTCAGCAATCACGCAAAAGAAGAAGTCGCGCAATTGATCCACCACACACCATCATAACGCAAGAAAAAAAAAGAAAAGGAAAAAAGAGAAAAAGAGATAAAGAAAAAAAGAACCATATCGGGCACACACGTACACACACACACACACACGCATATTTAAATAGAAGAATAATTATTTATAAATGAAACAAAAAAAGAGAGAGAGATTTGGGAAGAAAAGAAAAAAAAGAAAATTATATATATATATAAAAATAAATAAATAAATAAATAAATATGTATATAGGAGAAACACGGTCCATTATGCTTAATAATAACAATAAAAATAATAATAATAATAATAATAATATTAATACAACCAGTATATCCCAAACCAATGTGATAAATTTTTAAAATTATTATTAAGTGTATCTTTCCTTTTTCTCCGTATTGCATTAACACACTTACGTACAAGTAAGTAGCTACCACAGTATAACATAGCAAATGCACGATATATAAATAATACCATCACCATAAACACCAAGGATAATAAATATTGTGTAAAATTTACACACATTACAAATGTAATACGTATATATGTATAGCCCTCGTGCATATGTGTATATACGCATACATATATACATATAACAATGCGGCAGTAGTAGTAATAGTAGTAGTAGTAGTAGTAGTAGTAGTAATAGTAGTAGACAAATAGTTGCTAGAAAAGAATCCTTCACTTTCGCGTTTTTTCCTTACATATATATATATATAATATATATATTTTTTTTTTTGCTTTACTTTTCTTTTCTCTTTTGTTTATTTTACTGTTTTTTTTTTTTTTTTTTTTTTTTTTTTTTTTTTTTTTTTTTTCTATTTTATATCCTTTTTTTTTTTCTTTTTTCATTCGTCATTGTTCTTTTTTGCTTATTTTTTTTTTTTTTTTTTTTTTTTTTTTTCTTTTTTTTTTTTTTTTCTGTTGTGTTGTTCTAAAAGATACATCATACACTACAGATTCACTTGCCAGATTCGGAAATAGAGGGGTGCTTCGTAAATATCGTACGATATGTAATATTTGGATGTAAAAGAACAAAAATTCTTGCAATACTTGCATGCATCATTTTCCCTCGATTTCTTTAGATCTAACGTATTTCCCATATACATTATTTGAAGTAATATGAATTTGTATAAAAGAAAAAAATCAAACAAATGATTTATGAGCTTTTATTTAAGCTTTTATTGTTAGAGATGATTAGAAAAGTTAAAAATGAGAGCAAGATCGATAATCAATTATTATTGTTTGTTTATATCGTTAATTAACATTCAATTTAACATATCAACGATGGCATTAAATGTTTTAATAGAAAAAAAAAAAAAAAAAAAAAAAAGAGAAAAAAAATATTTATAGTTAATATGCAATCTGAGTGACGAGAGTTTATCAGAAAGAGAAAATATTCATTTATTAATAGAAAAAAAAAAAACAAAACATTTAACGTTTCGCAATATACGCGTTTTTAATATTAGAAAAATAATTAAAACATATTAATAAAAATTGTACTTTAATATCAATAACGTTTGATTTGATTTCGTATATTATCATTGAGAAAGAGATTATTTATTCAAGCTGCTGTGCTGTTTTTCTGCTGCTGCTGGATAATTTGTAATGGGAAATATGTTAAATGCGACTAATAAAAAACTTTGTTGTAACAAATAAATAAATAAATAAATCAAATCAAATCAAATAAATTAATGAGTAGAGAAAAAAAAGAAAAATTATGGTAGGAAAAAAAAAGAGAGTAAAAGGTAA